GTTCAATCGACAAACCACATGCAAAGAGTTTGCAGCCTGCAACTCTGCTGGAACACGTGTCACACGTTTCCGCGGAAAACTATCCTCGCTGTTACTGTAATTCATGTTACTGGCCCAGTAGTACTCCTTCCACGCCCCCGTTCCCGCTACTGTACTGCTGGGGAATTAAACACGTGTCAGTATGTGCCGGCTCGGACGCGGGGCGACAGTTTCTGCGAAGAGAAAGAAGGCTTGGCGGCTGTTGATGCATGGGCCGGCACGGGGAATTGCGCACGGGGAATTGCGCACGGGGAATTGCGCACGGGGAATTGCGCATGGGGGACGAAAGGAAAGTGTCGGGGGGACCACGGAGGGAAAAGGAGCGGGGAGTAGGCGAAGGGAAGCGCCAGTGGGCGAAAGGAAAGGCGGGGAACCGGATGTGGGTGCAAGACCCCAGGGCTTTGGGGGGGCGCGGTGACGAGGGAAGGTAGGTAGTATAAAAGGGAGCCCGGCGGGGAGGAACAGAGAAAAGGGGGGGCAGCAGGAGGGGACCTGGACGTCGAGTGGACTCTCGACGAGCGGTGAGCATCGGGTGGATTCCCGAGTAGCTGAGTGCATTCTCAGCGACCGCTCCAGATTCAATAAACGTTTTGGTTTGACAGTGCCCAAGAGACCGGGCACAACAGTACCCTTGGTACTGTACTCCCTCTTCCACATCTCCACGTCGTCTCCCGCGCCTCCCGCACCTTCGTCCTCTCACGGCTCCTCCTCGCGCTTGCCCGGTTCCGCGCCACCCTCGCCTTCCGCACCACCACGCGCGCCGCTTTCGCCGCCGCCGCTGCCGCCGCCGCCGCCCCTGCGCTCTGCCAGCGGCGACAACAGCACGTCCAGCTCCTTGAGCGTGCCTGCCCTCCATCCTGCTGCTGCTGCCGCTCATCCTCGCGCGCTGCCGGTGCCAGGCGGGGGGTTGGGGGTGATGCTTGCCCGCGGATCGCCGCGCGCGGGGGCCCCAACTTTTATGCACACCGTTCGCCAGCGCGCGAGCAAGTAGAGTCGCGGCGGGGAAGCGTCCGCCACGCGACTAGAACGCGACGGGCGCACGCGCGCTGTACATGCCTGCGGCGGGGACGGACGAAACCCCCGCCCCCCGCGGCGACGGGCGCGCGCATATCGATTGCGTCGAGCGGGCCGCGCGCGCACGCGCAAGGGAGAACGGGGGAGGAGGAGGGAGGCACGGCGCGTCGGGGTGAGGGCGCGCGAAAACGGCGGCGGCGGCGCGCATTCGGACGCGCGCGTTTGGGGCGCGCGGCGCGGGCGGCGGGGATGCGCCCATCGCTGCGTAAGGGCGGGAAGCAGGGCGACGTGGTGCTTGCGCTGCGGGTCGCGCGTGATTTGAACGGGAAGCGTTTGCGGGTGGAGACGCAGCGATGCTATGTGCGGCTCAGAAGACGCACGGCCGCGCTACCCCGCCGGCACGCGCCATCCGCCCGCACCTCAGCGACTGCGACCGGCCACGCCCCGCGTGGGGCGCGGCGACGTAGGCGCGTGGAGAGAGGGCGCGGTTGGGCGCGGCAGACGGCGGCCCGGGTAAGCTGGAATGCCTCTTGTATCTGCAGCAGTCGCGCGGGGAGGCCGCCGGGCGCAACAGGTGGCTGCGTGGCGTTTTGATCGCGCGCCACTGCCGGGCGGCCGCACACCCGGTACGCCGTCTTCTTGGCTGGCGGCCGGAGGCGCAGGCCGTCACTTTACTCGCCGGAGAGACGCGCGGCAACGGCGCCATGCTCCCCACCTGGATCAACTCTCGCTCCACGGCGGGATTTCCAATAATCGCATGCCGTCCCTCGCCTACGCGTCCCAGAATGCCCTTTCCAGAAGCGCTCCATCCACCCACTGTCGGTGACGAGTTCGATAAGCGTCCTGCGTACAATATCCCCACAGCGACTGATCCGCACACCCCTGACACCGCCGACAATATTCCGGCCTCCTCTGTCTCTCATCTCCCCGTCCCCGGGAGTTTAGGTGACCATCACGCCTGACCCGCAAACAATGAGTGCTCGTTCCATTGGTGTTCCTGCATGACGCGGTGGGGCATGAACTGTGTAGTTTGGTACACTGATCTGGAGCTGTGGTGATTCATGTGACGACTTGTGTACACATCAGACATGTCTTTCGGAATGGCGTCCAATCCGCCGATATTTTTTATGCTTCTCGCCACTTTTGTGGAACGGAAGTGTTGTCCTTGTCGGAAGTCATGGTTTTTGTAGTTTTTATGTCAGCGTACCGTATCGTATCTCGTGAAGTAACACCCAAAACGCGCACCGGGGATGGCAGGGGCGGGGCCGGCCCCGGCCTACACCGTTCTTTTCGGACGTTCATACGAGCAACATGCTATAATCGATGGCATGCTGCACTTGATGGAGTCAGATTTCTCGTCGGTCGTCGAATCCGGAGTCAGTGCATGGGAACTTTAAACCCTTAGAGCATCTCTACCGCATGACCGTATTTGCCTCTCTAATCAAAAATATCTCGCCAAGTGCTTAATTTTTATTGGGTAACTCTATTGCTCTATTGATGAATAGATTTTCTGGAATAGAGCCGCGGCGCAACTCTACCGCGCAGTACATATCCTTTCAGCACCGCTGCGCTCATCCCGTTCAACCCTTTTTATTACTATGGCAACTTCTCGCAACTACGACTCCCCTCCGCCGACTTTTTCTCCTGACTCCAGTGACGGCGAGAACCTGTCCTACTTCGTCGCCTCTGGGACACTGCCTGGTTTTCCAGGTACAATTCCTTCTCTCATTAGACTAGGATCAAGGAGCGGGAAAAGAGGAAATCTCAACCGCGACTTCGATGCCGCACTCAACCGCCTCAAGCGAGACTACTTTTCAACCACGCCACTTTATTGCGATGCGTCATTTGAAAGGCGTTTCAGAATGCCGCGCACAGTGTTCAACAGGCTGTACAGGGCGATTGAGGGCGAAGGATTGTTTGTCAGAAGGAAGGATGCGCTGAGCCGTGGAGGAATTCATCCCCTACTGCGGATGGTTGCCGCAATTCGCATGCTGGCGTATGGAGCAGCGGCTGACTCTTTAGACGAATATCTGAGTATGTCTGAAGACTCAGTGTTGCAGTCACTGAAGTCCTTTTGTTCTACTGTGATACAGAAGTTTGGAATAGAGTACCTACGCGAGCCCAATGAGGCGGTCCTACGGCGCATACTGGAAATAAATGCTGCCAGGGGGTTTCCGGGGTGTGCGGGTAGTATTGATTGTCAGCATTGGCAATGGAAAAATTGTCCGATAGCTTGGGCTGGAAAATTCAAGGGAAAGGAGAGGAATCCGACTATCGTTCTGGAGGCAATTTGTGACGGGGAGTTGTGGATTTGGCATGCCTTCTTTGGTAGCCCTGGAAGCTTGAACGACATCAACGTTTTGGACCGATCACCAACCATGGAGCGCATCATCGCTGGTGAGTTTCCGCCCTCCATTCCTTACACGTTAAATAAAAAACAACGAACGATGCCGTACTACCTTGCCGATGGTATCTACCCAAGCTGGGAAATTTTTAGGAAGACAATAAAAGACAACACGGCAAAAAAGGAGGAAGCATTCGCAAAGGCTCAAGAGGCGATACGGAAGGACATCGAACGCGCTTTTGGGGTGCTTGTGGCTCGTTTTCATATCCTACAGAACCCTTCAAGACTTTGGAAGAGAAGTGATGTATCGAATGTCATGGTGGCGTGCATTATTCTCCACAATATGATTGTGGAGAGTCGAAGAGATGACTACCAAAGTGCCATGGCGTCACTGCAGCACTTCGGTGAGGCGCGTGCTATGTTCGCTGCAGTTCAGTCATTCACGTGGGAATCCGAGTCGGCAACTCGGTACCTTCTTGGCAGTGAGTTGCCGACGGGAATGTGGGCTAGCATGGTATCGTCACGTCATTCGCGCATAACAAGTAAAGTGGACCACTTCTCCTTGAAACGCGACTTCATTGAGCATATATGGAACGCTCACGGCTCCGTCTAGGGGCGATGAGGTGTTTGCGCATCAATAAAGCTCTTGTTATTACCAATCTGCTGTGTACATATGTGTGAAGGCATCGGGGTCCGGGGGGCACTCCCGGCGTGTGAACAGCCACATACTCATCCCTTCCACCCTCCCCGGCATTCCCCCCACCCCTGTGTACTCAATTCTTGCCCAATGGCCTCCTCGAGTCCTGTCCATCATTCTTCCGCCCCTCCTCCACCTTTCTACCCCTGGGGCCCGACCCCGCCTGCCCCTCAACACCCACACGTCGTTCACGACATATATCCCGCCTCCCTTGAGGGCTCACGTCTCGCCTCCGCTCACAACACATGTCTCGTCGTCGTTCACAGCTCACGCCTCGTCTGTGGTCTAGCCTCACATCTCGCCTCTGTTCGTCCCCCTCAAAGGTGACGACAAAACAGTTTTATGCCACCTCTACGACGCGATCGGGGTAAAAGGGTGTAAAAAATCGCGGACGGCATCGCGATGCAGCTCATCACCCCTGTACGCGCCCTCGACAGACAAGGCGGGGTGTTCCCTCAGATGGCCATCGGAGGGATTAAAGTCGGCGTCCCGATGCGACTCGTGGCGCTCAAAGCGCGGGCGTTTCCTCCCCGTGCGCGGCGGGTGGGGCTCCCCCTCACAATGTTGGTCACGCGAGAGCGGGGGCGGCGGCGCCGGCGGGGGCGGGGACGGGGACGGGGTGCGGCGGGGTGGATGCGGCGAAGGAGACGAAGGCAAAAGCGGGGCAGGGTTGGTCTCTTTCGGCGGGGCGTGCTCTGGTGGGGGCTCCTTAGCGGTGTCGAGGAAGCCTCGCTTCCCAGTTTTCAAAATATTGTTGTGCATGCAAGCTGCAACCACTGCACCAACCATCGGTCCGACCCAGTACAAAGAATGCTCGGCCTAATGGCCTTCAAGTGCGGCAAGGGCAAATGACATGGCATGGTTCACGCCACCTCCTTTCCATTGTACTGCCACGTCAATAAGGGCAACAACGAGCATGGTCATGAGGGACCACTTCTTAAAAGTCGCCTTTTCATGAAAGATATGTTTTAGGGAAAGCGCGACGACACACAGCAAAGCAGTGATGAAGGCCTCAATGACGACTGCTTTTGAATAGGAGATACTGTATGTATGTGTGGCTGCGGGGGACGAAAGGTATCATCTTTATCTTTATGATGTATATTCGCACAGATACGGATGACATATTGGATGCGATATGTACCAGGAACTGCCATTCAAAGCGATTTTTGCAGCGCCCAGCACGTTCTTTCCCCTCAGGCCTCCTCGAGAAGCACTGCTGCACCCTGCGTGGTCGCAAGCTCTGGTACTACAGGGACGTCAACACGCTGCGTAGAGGGGCGCGTGTGACGGTCTTGTTAAGTCGCTTGCATTATTTGTCGACTGCCGCTCCAATGCACAAACACAAACTTCCGCTTGTGCGACCTTAGCTCGCTTGAGCGCCTGCGCAAGATAAATTGCTCGGATCGCGGAGAAGAACTGTGCCGTCTCGGGAAGGCTAGCAGCTTCTGGTCGAGAAAATGCTGCAATCGCATTATGCTCTTCGAGCACGTCCGACTTCCGCTTCGCCGACTCTGCAAGAACGCGCACCGCCTGTGTCCTCAACTCCTCCTGACGTGCCATTTTAGCACCACGGGCGCCCAGACCGAACTGTTCCTTATTTTTCGTGGGCGTGACGGTCTCGTGCGCTTCACTATCTTGCGTTGAATGCCCTCCGCTTGAAGCCAGTTGGCTCATGTCCGGTAGCAGTTCTTGCGTCGCAGTAATAGGGCTGGCTGAAGAGGGTGCGCAGGACCACTTCGGATGGTTACGGAGTACTTTCCAAGCCTTGTAGTAGAGCCATTGATCTTTTTCGAAGTTCTTGTAGTCGTATTCCATCCTGTTAGTGTGCTCCAGATGGACTGCCACTGATATTGAAAGCACCTCTTCGTCACCAACCCCAGTGGGATTGCAAGCACGCACCTTGCCGAGGGAGACGAAGAACTTCTGGACGTCAGCTGACATATCGCTGGAATGCTGCTTGATGCTCGCTCCGCTTCGATTACCGTATTTTCCGTCCGGAACGAGGTGCAGTGCGGGACCTTTCTCCGTGAAGCGGCGGCGGATAGTGTCTTGGAAGATTTTTCTTGCCTGGTCCGTGCCAGCGATCGGGTCTTCGGACGCCGCAATCCATGCACGAGCGAGAACGCAATTCTCCTCCGCATCCCAGTTCTTTCCGCGCCCCATACCGGACAGAGCAGACAGAACAGAGCAGAGGCACCGGAGAGAGGGGAACGTTGTGCGACGATGCCATTTGGGGGTGTTTGGGTTTGCATTGAAGTTCAATTTCCCGGGAATACTCATCTGGCAAGCACGGCTACGCCGGTAGCCAATCCGGAGGCCTTTCGTGTCACCTCTATTCAATATATTAGAGCACGATCTGGGTCTAATGGCGGGTCGAATAGACCCAGATCGAGCTCTAATCTATTGAGAAATCTATTCGAATAGATTAGAAACATGCGGTAGAGTGTCGTTTTTTTCTGCGGCTGAAAATTTGGCATTACATTACAGAATAGACTCGTGGTACAGATGCTCTTACAAATATTTATGTCCAGCACTGTTTGTAAGTCTCTAATCATGTTCCAAGTTGTCCGCCATGTACTACGAATAATTGTCATAACCGGCGAGCAGAAACGTTGACCTTGTCGCGCACGCGCATATATACTGTACTGTACGGCGTATTCGATATGATAACACCATCCAAAAGGTGCATGCACAGTTTGGATATTGATATCCAGCGTGCTTACAAAACATGGGCTGTAAGCTTACCGTCCCCGCAGACGGCAAGCTTACATGGACCTATATGTACTACGCGTACGTCCGCGCTTCCCACGCCCGGAGGTAGAACAATAAACAACTCGAGCAAGCAACTCTACGCTACTCTAGTCTGCAAAGGCAGAAGCAGGAGCTCGTTCTCACCCTTGAAGGCGCAACGCCGGATCACTCACCCTCTCTATTTCCCTTCTCATACTATCCTTTCCCCTTTTTCCAGCGCGCCAACCCCGCTCTCTGATCGTACAGAGAGCAGTGCACGCGAAGCACAAGGCCCCTTTCGACGAAAAATCCGGATTCGGGGGTGTTCCTTGTGATTCTCACCCCCCCTACGTCTCCTTTCCGACGTACTAGGAGATGTCTCAGGTTGGCTCTTCCGCCACCGATGGTCCGCCCGCCGCCGACAATATTGTCGCATTCCGCTCCGGTCATTCTGACGAAAGCCAAGGCCTTTCAGATATACTTCTGGCTTCAGAAGATGGCGAAGTGCGTCCAAGATGAGGATGAATTTCATCGTCAATACCTCGGGGTCGCCCGGAATGTGCTCGAACTATTCACGGTTCCGTAGAGCTCTGGAACTACCGCTGCCGTTATGCCAGACCCTTTGGAGGTATGCAAAGCCATGTCTGATATGCTTCCTAGCCCTTCTGTCGTCTTCACGGCCGACTACTTCAACCACACGGTCTTCCCACTCAAGGTTTTGTACAGCATTGCCGAGCTATTTGGGTTTGATGGAATTCCCGACGACTTCTTGGCCCAAGTGTGCATCAGAGATCACGAGCGCGCCCAAAAGATCATCATGATCCAAGCCTAGTTTGTCTTTGTCCTTGGTTTGGACCCCAGCTCCACCCGCTCTGTCATAGACAGATTTCAGCAGGCGCGTTCCCTTCCTTCTCGACGAGCTCTCAATACAGACATGATAGCAACTGCGCCCGCGACCGAAGATCCTATTAGGGCGCCAGGAACCTTACCCCCCGTACGCCCTCAGCAAGCTCACGGCCTCCCGTGGCTCTAGAAGCGGAGCGGTGAACTTTGACAACCGCTTCAATCATAGCCATGAACGTGCCTCCAGTCGTGACCTGGCGCCCAACGCGACTTCAGGGGACATGCGCCAGAGCGGACCCGTTAGATTTGACCAGCGCCCGCAGAACGGCCAAGGCTATTCCCCGACTGCGCATGAACCCAACATGGACATTGGTGACACTCGCAAAGCAAACTACGTGCACCAGCAGTTCTCTGGTCAGAAGTTCAAGGGAGACCTCAGTCAGTCCGTGGACCTCCTGCTACGTGACTACGAGGTATGCGCACATCAGCACCGCCTAACTCGTGCGCAGAAGGCGGAGTACATCATGAATGTCCTCGAGGGCCCGGCTCGTACCTATTTCCTCAACAATTACGCTCAAGGAATGGCTTATGAGCAGGTGGTTGAGCTAATGAAGCGCGAGTACGACAGCGACTCACGGCAGCTTCAGGTCCAGTCCACCCTTGAATGTCTCAATTTAGACACCTTCATGTCCACTCGCTGTCTGACAACCCACTCTGATGGCCTGACCAAGCTGGTCGAGTACCTGGAATTGCTCACCCCGCAATGCCCTCCTGGTTTCCGATCAGACGAGAACAAGATACGTTTCCTACGAAAGGCTGTTCACGGTTGTGAATGGGCGCTCTCTCCCATTCGCAACATCGTCTCCCATCGCTACAAGTTCCACGCGTTCGTAACGGCCTTACATGAGAACCTCCAGCTCTCCAACGAGCTCAACGATGTGCGCCCGCCCGCGTATCCCACACACAGCGCGGAGATAGACGAGGAACAAGCCGCTGATGTCTTCTTCCAGCGCTACGGCCGCAATCCTCGTGATGTTCGGAACCGGATGTCTAACCGCCCGCCGGGCCGTCCCGATCGGCCCCGATTCCCGCCATCGTCTCGCACGCCTCCGGACCGCAATGAGGTCCGCCATGGGCGCACGTTCGACGAGGCGCGCCGTCGCAAGGAATGTTTCAAGTATGTTGCTCCTTGGCTGCCCGGCCATCTATACCACGCAGGGGCAATTGCTGCCAGCGCGCGCAGCCGACTCCGCAAGGGTGAATCTCACGTCCACATCACCCGAGACTACAGTCTCGGAATGGAGAGAGAACAAGAACCTCATGAAGGTTCTGCTCCTCCTGGG